AATATGATAAACTGTTTTGTTGTTATATTTATTGTTATATTGTTGTTATATTTATTAAATATCGCGTTTTATTTTGTTCATTCTTGCGGCCGTATAATTTTCCAATATTATGCACAAGATCGCATAAACGTTAATTGATAATCGCTTAGCACTCCGCGCTTGCAATTTACATAATATAGCGCTTTTGCGCTCGCGTCAGCGAGTAGCTCGCGCTTCTAGAGAAGCGTGAGGGAAAACGGGGCTGAGAAATTCCGTCGTAGTCGAATGCCGCGCGGGCGTTCTCGAAACCGATTCTCGCCGAGGGCCCGCAGGTATACGCGGATATATATCGTGCTTCCACACGCCGGCGTTAATAGGCCACCGGTAACTTACACCGGTGCGCCGACCGGACGCGGACTGTATACGGCGGAACACGGACCCCGGGAGAGAGAAAGAGAGGAGGAGAGGGAGAGAGAGAAGGAGATGCCGAGTTATAAATGTAGAAACGCCCCGTAGGGAGATCTGTCAAATAAATAATCCACGAAAAGCGCATATATGCGTGCCTGCGCGCGCGAGCGTTGCGGTGTGTATGACGTCACATCCTCGAAAACACTATTATTATACCTCAACCACCTCCGCCGGCGCATTAACATAGATTACGCCGCCGTGCGGCCCTCGAGCGGCCGCTCGGTCCATCGCCATTAGACGATCGCCATTGTGGTTACCGCGGCCAACCGGACCTGCATGTAGGTATGGGACACGGGATTATGTTTGCGCGTCCCATTGACGGAAAACATCGGTGATCAGCGACGTGTGAAGCCGACGTCGCGCGAACATTATAATTTCCCGACGCGCGTTAAAAAAAACCGCCAGTCCACCGCGATTGAGAGTCGGAACGCGCCGCGAGGATAAAACCACCAGCGCCTTTTCACGCGCGCGCGTGGGAGTACCGTCATAAATTTTCAGATGGAGGCGAATTAGGCAATTACGAAAAATATACGTTTGTAGGTTTGTATCGCGACGACTGTCTCTCTCTCTCTCT